TCTCTTCTAGCTCTTCCTTTCTTTTACCCTGAGATGTCTTTCCTTCCTTTGCATCACCAACACTATACTCTGATGTCCCCAAAACTCAAAGAAGGTATTCTGCTCCTCAAACTAGAAAATAAGAGTTTCCTCATGGGTTTTGTTAAACTGTCTCATCTTTTGTGTGTGTGTCTGTGTGGTAAGTATGCATTTGTGCAGGCCCACATGATTGTATCTGTTCCTCAGGTGCCATCTGTGATTTTTTTGAGACAGGGTCTATCACTGGTCTTAACTGAGCTAGCTAGACAGAGCCCCAAGGTCCTTTCTGCCTGTCTTCACCTCCGCAAGGCTGGATTACAAGTACACACCAGTATGCTTGGCCGTTTCAAATGGGTTTTGGAAATCAAACTCAGATCTTCATGATTGTGTAGCTAGTCCCCAGACCACAAAGGAAAAGTTTCAAGGATTCCTCAGGGTTGAGTTGTGAGGGCCTACGTTCCATCCCACTTCCACACCACAGAAAAAGAAAGTATACCAGTGCACGCCTGTAATCTCAGCCCACTACTGCAGCAGAATAGTACAAGTTCAAGGAAACTTACAGAAACTCTGTCTCCAAAGAAAAGTGGGGGGGGGGGGTTAGAAACCTTCAAAGTTTTAATATTTTGCTACTCTGAAATTTAGTTCCCAGAGACCTGATGGCTCAAGCCTGCAATCCAGCTACTTAGGAGGCTGACACAGGAAGATCACAGGTCCTTCAGGGACCACAGAATGGGTTCAAGGCTGGCCTGGACAACTTAGTGAAACTCTGACTCAAAGACAAGAATAAAATTAAAAAGAGAACATTTGCTAGCACAGAGGCAGCCAGGTTCAATCCTGGTACTACAGCCACACCAAAAAGGCTTCATTGGGACCAGAGAGACAACTCAACAGTTGAGAACACTAGCTGCTTCTCCAAAGACCAGAGGCTCAATTCAGACCATGCACATGGTATCTCACATGATGTTGAACTTCAGTTCCAGGGGAGATGGTGCCCTTTTCTGGCTTCTATAGGCACTGCACACATGTAGTACACAGACATGCGCGCAGGTGAAACATCCATACACATAAAATCATTTAAAAAAGTAATTTCTTAAATGCTTTGAAGCTGGGTGCGGTGGTTCATGCCTTTAATCTCAGTTCTCAGGAGGTAGAGGAAAGCAGTGAGTTAGAGGCCAGCCTTGTCTATACAAGCAACATAGTGAAGCACTGTCTCAAAACAAAATTTAAAAATAAAATAAAAAGGCTTCAAGAGACTGAGCCAGGTGTCTCAACAGACTAGAACAGGAGGACTTCAAATCCAAAGTCAGTCTGGGCTACAAGATCCTATCTCAAATACCAACCAAACAAACCAACAAACAAAAAACACCTACTAAGGCATGAGTGGTGGCCCTACAGTTCAGATAAGAGCACATGTCAGGCAGCCCATAACCACCTACAACTCCAGCTTTAGGTGATTCAACACCCTCTTCTGGCTTCTGCAAGCATCTGCACACACTTGACATACACAAATACAAACACACACTATAAATGAAAATATTTTTTAAAGCTAAATTAAATATACTCTCCCAGAATATGGTCCTTCCCAAAGCTTTTTAACCATTAACCAGAAACAGAATAGAGCCCATCTGTAGTGACCCGTTATGAACTTTGAAATTAAAACCTCTGAAAATCCAAAGTGCTCTGACTTTCTATCTTGCCTACTCATTATTCATCCAGCTTTTGTAAAAAAAAAAAAAAAAAAAAAAGCCAGTAAGACCCTCATTCTGAAATCTCAGTGCCCATACCCTCCCTCAGACCTCTCTGCATTGCACACCCCTGAAGCAGTTTTTGTCATTTCCCTGTTAAAAGACTCAGAAGCCAAGTCTAAGCAATCATGAAACCACCTCAAACAATCCCATTAGCAGGATTTTATGATACCAGAAAACTCCAGAATATCAGTCAGTTTCCAGACATGTTCCACCTGGGGGGGGGGGGCACACACAAGCAAGGCTAGCAATGTGGCCCACTACCCACAATAAAGTAAACAATAAAGCACGAGATTTGGTGCTGGTGAGATGGAGTTAAGGCACTAACTGCCAAGACTCATGACCTAGGTTCTGTACCTCACACCCACATGGTGAAAGGAGAGAACCAACTCCCACAAGTTGTGCTTTGACCTCCACAATCAGGCAGTGGTGTGCACCTATCTACACACACAAAGACACTAGTTGTCTAATTTGGGGCTGGTAAGATGGCTCAATAAGTAAAGGTATTTGCCACCAAACCTAACAACCTGATTCTGATACCAGAACACACACAGTGGATAAAGCCAACTCCCCCAAGTCAACCTCTGACCATTACACATGCGCAGAAGCAAAAGCATGCACACACACACACACACACACGCACACACACACACGGATGGATTAAAAAAAAATAAAGCATAGGCTGGACACAACTTCAACCCCAGTACTCAGAAGGCAGAGACAAACATAATCTCTAAGTCTGAAGCAAGGCAGGGGTGCTACACAGTGAGACCCTGTATCCAAAAATAGCTTTTTGTTGTTTTTTATTTGTTTGTAAGTTGACTGCATGATTCTTGAGCATGAACTTTACAGATGACAAAGTTGTTGAGCATGAATTTTGTGTCACATGTCAGCAGGTTGAACACATCTGCAAGTTACGATCACTACACCTTAACTATGGACACTTCACAAATTCTTTAACTAAATAACCTATGGATTTATACTAAGTCCAACTCTTAATCCGAATTTCTGCATGCTTTTACCATAACTGAACAGGGCCTTAGTTTATTTATAGCCTGGACTGGGATTACAGTTGTGTGTCACCATCCATGACTCATTTCCTAACTGGGAATTCATTTAAAAATTGTACCTGTCAAATACACACACTGTGACATACAGTTAAGAGAAAAGAACATACCAAGAAATCATATATAAAGTCAGGGCAGGAGAGATGGCTTAGGTGGCAAACTGTCTGTCACACAAGGATGAGGAACTGTGTATGAGTCCCCAGGACAGGAGGAACTCTGGAGCTCACTGGTTATCCAGCCTAGCCAAATAGATGAACTCTCAATTCAGGGGAAAGACCCTGTCTCAAAAAATAAGAGAGCAATTAAGGAAGATACCCAACATTAACCACTGGACTCCACGTGCGCACGTGTGCACACAGACATGTACATACACCACATAAACAAGTTCACACATACCCTAAAAAAAATTATAAGGAGAAAAGGGTGTGGCGTATGGCTAAAAGCACTTGTCTTACGTAGATAAGGCCTGGGGTTCTATGGGAGGCACCAAACAGAAGGAAAAGTAAGGGGTGTCAATGTAAGTGTTGCTGTTGTGCGTCCATCTATAATAAAATTGTGCTCTATGCTACAGGGTTTAGAGTCCACCAACAGGGTAATTTTACATTTCCGGTAGTGATGTAAATTGTCATAATTCTGGGAGGGAGGTATAGAAATGCACGTCTTACATATTCAGACAGAATGCTTAACGTTTCGGGTTTTCATACTGACTGGGGAGAAAAAACACTAACATGGTCAAAATTACAAGCTTTTGGCGGTTTGATTAACCGTTTCTCAAAATCATCACTTTGCGAAAGTCAAGTGTCTAACTCAAGTCGTTGATGCCCAAACTGTCCTTTATTCAGGCCCACGATTCTGATGGAAAATGCACTGCTGGTATGATCAAGCAAAAAAAATCGCGAAAACACGGAGACTCCATATTACTCGAGAGTAAAGCTACAACCTCACATTTCTACCGGCCCTACAAAACAGCTACGCACCATGCACGCCCCAAGGCTGCACTGGACCCGGAGGGGAAAACAAAAGGCACTAAGTGGACACCGCGGCTCCTCTTTTGTTCCTTGTCCCTGCTTTTTAAGATGCACGTAGAGCATCCTCACTTCGTCCCCCAGGAGTGCAAACCACGCCTGACAGAGGCTGGACACGTCCGAGAGGGAGGTGAGGGCAAGGAGGGGTGTACGTAGACTTGGGGTCTCAGAACTCGTCCTCTCTAGAAACCGCCCTCCTTGACCAGCCCTGGCCCCGGGCAGAACGCCAGTGCGCCCGCCGGGCGCGGCGGAAGGTCGCGGCCCAAGGAGGCGACTCCCGCCCTCGGCCGGCCAGCAAGCTTCGGGCAGCCGCAGTCTCCCCGCCTCGCCTCGCCTCGCCTCGCCCTAGGCCCCTCGGCTTCTCCCCGGCGGCCTCGGCTCGTCAGGCCCGCCGGCCCTCCGCCCACCCGGCCGCCTCACCTACAACCCGAGGGTGGGCCCGGCCCGCTCCGCCAAGGCAACGCTGAAGGTCTTCTCGCACCAACGCCGTCCGCGCCTGCGCGACCTCGCTCCCCGCCGCGCCTGCGCGCCCGTCGCCCCCAGAGCGCGAGTGCGCGCGCGCGGCGCCGCGCCTCAGGCCCGGCACGCAAGGGGGCGACGGGGGACGCGCCGGCCAACTGTCCGGCTACGCGTGCGCGTGCGCGCCTGCGCGTGCGCAGGGGAGTCCCCCCCCACCCCCCCAGCGGGCGGGTGACCGGCGGGGGTTGAGGAAAGGGACAAAAATCTTGGAGGACCTTCTGTCCGTCCGGAGGCGGCGGCTCTCGCGAGAACGTGCCGGAGCCATGGCTACTGTTGCCTGGAAGGGGCGAGGGGGAGGGGGCGTGCGCGAGCGGAGGGCTGGAGGTGGCGTCCGCTCGCGCGTTCCCCCAGCTAGGATGTCACTCCCGGCCCCGCCGTCCTCTAGCGGATGACTTGCAGGTCTTTGAGGGGGACTCTCAGTTGTCAGGGTGAGAAAACGTAGGCCCCGGGGGATGAGCGGCTGGGAGGTTCAAGAGCATGCAAGTTAAGTCACAGGGAGGGCACCCGAGAAATCAATGAAGGAGAAATTATGCGAGCGGAAAGCCACCACCTTAATAACAGTTGATTCCTTGGGAAAGGGTTAAGGATATTCCTTTGCCTTTAAGAATCAATCCATGGATTACTTACTGACGTGAAAGAGGCCTTCACGGCTAGAAAATCGCCTTAACCGAGTGATTAAAGCTAACATCCCTGTGAGTGATAGGTTGACTTCTTGTGCCCTGTGGAACACAGAAAGGGACACAGACAGTATTCTTGACAAAGCATGTAATTTGTCTCTTCGAAAAGGTCATTGTCATGAAAGACACTGAACAGGCATCAGACTATTCTAGATTTAAGAAGAAAAAAAGAAAGATTTAATGCTAAACGTTTTTGTGATGCTGAATTGGACTGTGGATAAAACGAAATAGTTGTCGAGGAACACTACCAGGACAACTGGGGAGAACTGAGTATAGACTACCTTGTGCTGCAACAACATGAAATCTTCTGAGGGTAATGTGCCTTGCTTGTGTAGAAGTGGCCTTTTTGGAGACATTTGTTGACATGTGTGTCTGCCACTTACTTTCTTATTGAAAATATTTTTCATGCAATATATTCTGATCATGGTTTTCGTACCCCAGATTCCTCCAAGATTCTCTCAACTGCCCAACTCCATGCCTTCTTTATCTCTTTTTTAAACACTTTTTTATTATATGTTTAAATTAGAAACAAGCTTGCTTCCCATGTCAGTCCCAGCTCCTTCTCCCTCCCCTCCACGATGCTCCCTCCCACCAGCCCCCCTAAACCCCCACCCAATTTCCACTCCATTCCCCAGGGAGGGTAAGGCCCTCCATGGGGAAACTTTAGAGTGTCATTTCATCCCTCTCCCAAGTGTCCAGATTGAGAGAGCATCCCTCATTGTGGGATAGGCACCCAAAGTCCATTTGTATGCACGGGATAAATACTGATCTACTACCCAAAGCCCCATAGATTGCCTCACTAATACCCACATTCAGGGGGTCTGGATCAGTCCCATGCTGGCCTCTCAGCCATCAGTATGGGATCCAAGATTTCCCCCTTGTTCAGGTCAGCTGTTTCTCTGGGTTTCACCAGCCCAGTCTTGACCTGTTTGCTCATCACTCCTCCCTGTCACTACTGCTTAGTTTGCCAGTTGGTGTCATCCTTGTAGATTTCTGGAGATCTCACTAGTGCCAGATCTCCCCTCAAGCCTAGAATGGCTCCCTCTATTATGGTATCTCTTGTGAAAGACCTGTATCAAAAGAACTTTGAGTCTTTAAAGAAAGAAATTAAAGAAGATACCAGAAAAGGAGAGATCTCCCATGCTCTTGGATAGGTAGGATCAACAGTAAAAAATGGCAATCTTGCCAAAAGCAATCTACAGATTCAATGCAATCCCATTGAAATCCCAGCACAATTCTTCACAGACCTTGAAAGAACAATTTTCAACTTTATATGGAAAGACAAAAGACCCAGGATAGCCAAAACAACCCTGTTCAACAAGGCAATGTCCAGAGGCATCACCATCCCTGACTTCAAGCTCTGTTATAGAACTATAGTCCTGAAAACAGCTTGGTATAGGCACAAAAATAGACAGGTAGACCAATGGAATCAAATTGAAAACCCTGATATTAACCCACACACATATGAACACTTGGTTTTTGACAAAGAAGCTAAAATTATACAATGGAAAAAAGAAAGCAACTTCAACAAATGGTGCTGGCATAACTGGAGGCTGGCATGTAGAAGACTGCAGCTAGATCCATGTCTATCACCATGCACAAAACATAAATCCAAATGGATCAAAGACCTCAACATAAATCCAGCCACACTGAACCTCTTAGAAGAGAAAGTGGGGTGCACCCTCCAATGAATTGGTACAGGAGACCGCTTCCTGAACATAACACCAGTAGCATAGACACTGAGATCGACAATTAATAAATGGGACCTCCTGAAACTGAGAAGCTTCTGTAAGGCAGGACACAGTCAGCAAGACAAAAAGGCAGCCCATAGAATGGGAAAAGATACTCATTAACCCTACATCTGACAGAGGGCTGATCTCCAAAATCTACAAAGAACTCAAGAAGCAAGTCTCCAAAGCACCAAAGAATTCAATTAAAAAGTGGTCTACAGAGCCGGGCGGTGGTGGCGCACACCTTTAATCCCAGCACTAGGGAGGCAGAGGCAGGCGGATCTCTGTGAGTTCGAGGCCGGGCTGGACCGATAGCCTCCGAAACAATACAGAGAAACCCTGTCTCGTAAAAACCAAAAAAAAAAAAAAAAAAAAAAAAAAAGTGGTCTACAGAACTAAATAGAGAATTCTCAATAGAGGAGACTAAAATGGCTGAGAGACACTTAAGAAAGTGCTCAACATCCCTAGCAATCAGGGAAATGCAAATCAAAACAACTCTGAGATACCATCCTGTCAGAATGGCTAAAATCAAAAACACCAATGACAGTTTATGCTGGAGAGGATGTGGAGAAAGGGGAACACTCCTCCACTGCTGGTGGGAGTGCCATTTCAGTACAGCCACTATGGAAATCAGTATGGAGATTCCTCAGGAAAATGGGAATCAGTCTACCACAAGACCCAGAAATTCCACTCTTAGGCATATACCTAAAAGATGCACATTCATACAACAAAGACATCTGTTCCACTATGTTCATAGGAGCATTATTTGCAATAGCCAGAACTTGGAAGCAACCTAGATGCCCCTCAACTGAAGAGTGGATAGAAAAAATGTGGTACATTTACACAATGGAGTACTACTCAGCAGAAAAAAAAAACAATGGAATCTTGAAATTTACAGGCAAATGGATAGCACTAGAAGAAACCATCCTGAGTGTGGTAACCCAGTCACAAAAAGACAAACATGGTGTGTACTCACTCATATATGGATTTTAGACAGGGATCAGGGGAGTGCCATTCTACAATCCCACTTCCAGATAGTCCGAGAAACAAGAAGGATCCTAAGAGAGATATGCATGGTACCCCAGAGAAGGTGAAATGAGGCAAGATCTTCTTTATCTCTTTAGGAAACAATCAAACCATAATCTTAAAAAGGAAAAATAACAAGAAGTACAAGAAACATATACACAGAGAGAGAAATGACCCATAAATAACAAGAAGTACAAGAAACATATACACACAGAGAGAGAAATGACCCATAAATAACAAGAAGTACAAGAAACATATACACAGAGAGAGAGAAATGACCCATAAAAGCATAAACATAGAAACCATAATACACAAGCAAAAGACAAATAAGACCAAAAATGCCCAAACTCAGGGTTAGGAATCAGGGTTGCACATTGTGTTTGGGAAATTCCTACCAAAAGAATCCATTCTGAATGTCCAAAGGGGCATCAAATGTATGCAAGGTATTTTTATGATTTCTTTTTAATTATGCTGTCTCTGTCTGTCTGTCTGTCTGTCTCTCTCTGTGTGTGTGTGTGTGTGTATGTATCTCTGTGTGTGCATACACACCCACACGTAGGAACAAGTGTACAGAAGTTAGAGTTTCAGGCAGTTGTGAGCCACCTGTCCTGCTGGGAATCAAACCTGAGTCCTCTGGAAAAGCAATTTATGCTCTTAACTGCTGAACCATCTATACAGCCCTACATAGTATTTTTATGGCAAAAGCAGTTTTCAATATATCACACATAGGTGAGAGTACAGCCTGGCTGACACAAACCTATAAGCTATTTCATCTTGACCACTCTGTAATAAGGCACTATAATTCCATTTACACGAAGGACAGTTTAAGGGGAACAAAGTGACATATTCCTCTAGTTGGAGTAATCTGAAACAGTGGTCCCTGTAGTTTTCAAGCAACTCAGTAAGACTGGGGATGAACTTAGTTCGCTGTGTAGTGTGGTGATAGGAAAGAATAAACTTTGAAAACTAATGTTCAAACCTTACTTAGTTGACAAGCTCTTTGATCTTGGGTAAATGAGTTGACCTCCCTGGGCCTCTTGCTTTCATTCCCTGAAATGAAGATGCCCAGAATTAAATTTCTGCTCAAGCAAGGGAGGCTGTGACCACAGACAGCTTTCTTTGGCTGAAGTCTTGGGGAACCCTGGATTAGCACATCCTGGGCACAAGCCTTGGACGAGGTGTCAGCACCATACCCCATAACCTTTCCAGAACCTGCTACACAGGGCAGTCACACACCAAGGGAAAGACTTGTAATTAGATGTCACTCAGCTTCATCCCAGGTGAGAATAGAAATACTTTCTGATGTATACGGTCACCTCCTTGGGCCTGATAAAGGCCTACCCCACCAGACTAGAAGTCAAGAAGCTGTTTATCAAAATAAAGCCTGTCCCTTTTGAATCTTAACATTCCAAAAAAAAACACTAAAGATAAAGCTGTTGGAACTTGTAACTGGCTTAGAGAGAGAGAGAGAGAGAGAGAGAGAGAGAGAGAGAGAGAGAGAGAGAAGTCCTCAAGCAGATAAAAAATGATGTCTTCTTAAAGTTGTAAATGTTTGTTTGGTTTAATTGTGTATTCTAGGCAGACATTGTTGATACAATACATACTCAGTGATGGTAGCCTCACACTATTTTCCTTTTAGTTCATTCCAGCTGTTGTGTGTTGCCATAATGCAGCTATGCTCCTATTCTTACACATGTGGGTTCTCTTGCTTAAACTCAGAAACTAAGATGATGAGGACAGTGACCTCACAAGACCTGATGAGCCTTGGTGTACAGGCAGCAGTACCATGTGTCATTTTTCAAGGACAGTGCTGTGTATATATATACCTGACAACTGAGGTAATGTGTCCTTAGCCTTTGAAGATCATTCCACATTGTTTTTTGTGTATAAAACACAAATGCAGTCTGGACCCGACACTGAGGCCTTTCAGGAATTGTCCTGGCTTTGGCCTGCCAATGACATCTGCTTTCTTCCACTTTCACTGATGTAGGACTACTTATTCCAAAAAGATTCCCACGACACCTGCCAGCAGATAATGAAGAACTGAATGTAATAGCACCTGGTTAAGTTTTTCTGCCTCCCAGCCTCAAACTTGCAGTTTTCACAGAAACTCCCTTTAGAGTAAAATGTCATGTTCCAACCCTGTTGTGCAGTCCCATTATCATCACACCCAAAGCCACTCCAGAGCCAGTTTGTAAGCTCATTTACCCAGAGAAAGTAGTTTAGCCTTAGAGATAATTTAAGAGCCACCAACGTGGTATATATGGCTAATGTTAAGACACTTAGCTACAACCGTGAGGGGCCACATCTCTGCTGTCAGGTGTGGGCTTTTTCTTTTCCTGAGCACCATTATTTTGACTTTAAATTTTTTAAAGTGTGAGTATGAGGGAAAATGGATAAAGTTTGCTGTACACATTTAGCAATCTATTCTAGATCACCAAAACCTACATTAGTTTATGCCACCTTGACACAAATTAGAGTCACTAGGGAGGAAAAACACTGAGGAATTACCTCCATCCTGCAGGGCTGAAGTCACGCCTGTGTGTTATTTTCTTGATTGTTGATTGATGTATGCAGTCCCAGCCCTCTGTGATGGTGCCACTCCTGGACAGGTGGTCCTGGGAATTGTAAGAAAGAAGACGGAGTGAGCTGTAAGCAGTAAGCATTGCTCCTCCATGGCCTTGCTTCATTCAGTTCCTGCCTCCAGGTTCCCACTTCCATGACTTTCTTCAGTGATGGACTCTGATGTAGATGTATAAGCCGAATAAACTCTTTCCTTCCCAAGTTGGTCAGTGTTTTATCCCAGCAACACAAATCAAACTAGAATACTCATGAAGATGGAAGGTGATCATTAACTTCACAGAGTTGTCCTCTCATCTCTACATACATGTGGTGCCATGTATGTCTTTAACTGGGCTTTCGTTGGACTGCCAGCTCCCAAATAATGACACAGAGACTTTTATCCTCTCCTGTCTAGCTATTGGCTGTTCATCTCTTTATTAAACCAATCAGAAGGTACCTTAGGCAGATGAGGTAAAACAGAGAAACATCTTCACACAGTGTGATCAAATATCCCACATATGTGTCCCTGCACAGATATCATGCACACACACACACACACACACACACACACACACACACCACCACCACCAACAACAACAACAACAACAACAGCAATGAATCCAGACAAATTTTTGAGATGCTAGGACATAAACCACAGAACAGACAGAAAATTCAAAAAGGATTCCAGGTATACTTAGCCTAAGAGCCTCTACTTCTATGCCTCTTAGTTGCTTTAGACTGGCTTTAAGGGGCTGTATTGGCATTAACTCCATGGTGTCTGTGTGTGTGGGATCACACCAGACTAACCATTGGAAAGACAAAAGAAGTGGAATGTGGGCAGGGGGAGGCACCCCTTGCCCAGATGAAACCTGTCTGCAGCTGAGAACAAGAGTCCCACCAAACTGCCAATGCACATCCAAGTCTTTTATATTAAGACGGCAGTGAACCAGGATGAAGGCCTGTCTGTGTATGGCGGTGGCCAGTAGGGTCCTAGTCCTCTCACAGATATTTTCCTGATAATCTCACAAACCAGATTGCTATTTTTAAAGTGGGGATTTTCTGTCTTTTCATCTCAGTGACTTATAATCCTGTCAAGTATGGTACCTTTGTAACCCTTTGATGATAATGGCTTCAAAACCCACCAACGTGGAATGTAGACAATCAGTCGTCAAAGCAACGAATGCACCCCTTTGAGAAGCCTGCACTCATGTTCTGGGCTAAGTCTTCCTTTCTTCCCAAGCACACTTTCCTCTTAATCCCTGTGCTTAGAAGGATGACCTGCTCTTGCAAAGGACCTAGATTCAGGTCCCAACACCCTTAAGGTGGCAGACAACCATTTGTAACTCTGTTTCCAGAAGATTTGATGTCCCATCCTGGCCTCTGCCAGCACTGCATGTATACAGTCCACAGATATACTTACAGGCAAACACCCATAAATATAAAATAAATAACATTTTTAAGAGAGAGAGACTTGTGTTCCTCCCTTTCTCTATCAAACTACTAGTATAAGGGACCCCAAGAATTTGGAATTTTCCCAACAATATCATACTGGAGGAGGAAAAAGACTGAAATCTGGTACAGCAAGATCAAAGGTCTTCTACTTTGTATTAAAAACCATGTCTGTAAAAATACAGATTTTTAGGTTAAGTATTGCTAGGCGATTAAAATGTGATCTAACCAACAGTACAGAGTATTTATTTTTTTGTTTTGTTTTTTTGATTTTTACGAGACAGGGTTTCTCTGTATTGTTTTCGAGGCTGTTGGTCCAGCCCGGCCTCGAACTCACAGAGATCCTCCTGCCTCTGTCTCCCAAGTGCTGGGATTAAAGGCGTGCATCACCACCGCCCGGCAGAGTATTTATTTTTTAAATCTATCTTTTTATATGACTATTTATTATTTACATGGAGTTGCTTTTGTATTGCTTACATAAGGAATTGTCTTATGAATAAATTGTCTTATTGGTTAAAATTCCCAACTTAACCCAGATGCCATTTAATTCACACTGTAAGTAAAGCTTATAAAAAAAAATGAGAAGTGTCAAATCAATCAGAGAACAGCAACAACATGACCTAATGTCATTCCTGTTGAACTCTCTCTGCTTCTGCTTGCCCATGAGTGTGAGCTCCCAGCCGTTCCTGCAACCCTGTCTTTGCTTCACCACCATGAACTCTAACTCTCTGAGCACAGAAGTAAATGCTGCTTTTTGTTTGTTTGTTTGTTTGCTTTTCTTTGCTTTGTTTTTCAAGACATGGTTTCTCTGTGGCTTTGGAACCTGTTCTGGAACTCGAGCTGTAGACCAGGCTGGTCTCAAACTCACAGAGATCCGCCTGTCTCTGGCCTCCTGAGTGCTGGGATTAAAGGCGTGCACCACCAATGCCCGGTTTAAAATAGCAATGCTTTCTTTTATAAGTTGCCTTGGTCATGGTGTTTTGTAACAGCAATAGAAAAGTAACTAACTACTATACTGTAGGATATATCTAAAAGGTCCTAGAGGTCTAGAGAGTCATCTGTCTTCATGATTAGGGGTGTCATGGAAACCCTGGTCTACAAAGTAAATTCAGGCCAGTCAGATTTAGGGTTAGGTTAAGCTAGGAGTAGTTAGCCACCACACCAGCTGTTTAATCTCAAACTTTTCTTCTTGGGTTTTTTGTTTTGTTTTGAGATAGTTGCTCTGTGTAGCCATGGCTGTCCTGGAACTCAGTCTGTAAGCCAAGCTAGCCTTGAACTCACAGAGATCCACTTGCCTCTGCCTCCCTAAATACTGGATTAAAGGCAAGCGCCACCATGCCAGGCTAATCTCAACTATTAATGTTAAGTTTTATATCATGTGTCACACAGTAAATATCTACATTTATCTACATATATGTGGTTTTCAGAATGGATACAAGTTAAAGAGGCTACAGGGTTCAGAAGCTTTCAGAAACAGGGGATGAGAACCTTCACCAGTTAGATATAAACCAGACCAGTGCCAGGAGGGAGCTGCTGGATCCAGGCTCTGAGAGCAAAGCTGTAGAGTCCAGCTATGATGAAGAGGGCTGAACTGAAGCTCAGAACAGGAAACAGCAGATCAGGGGCTATAAGTGAACAGGAGGACGAGCACACAGCCAATTAGGCTGCATCAACTGCAGGGAACCACGGTAAACTGAAACTCCACAGACCGTGGGGCGTCCACTGCTTCTCATACAAACCAGGTGTCAGACGGTAGACTGGTGTGAGGCCAGGCCTTGTCAATGTTGGGGCTCCATCACTTTATGGGGTCCATCCAAGGGACCTATAAGGCTTTCCTTGATCCAGTGTGTCTGGTGGCAATGCAAAAACATAGCTCCCAACTCAAAGGGAATAAAGTAGTTTTTGTCTGGAGCCAAAAAATGGAGTGACCATGGCCCAAAGACATAGATTTTGCTCTCACCCAAATACAATGTTCCAACATGGAAGCAATTTAGTAGAATTTTTATGAAAACAAAACAAAGCAATCAAGACATTCTTAAAACACATTGGTGGAAACAGAGGTGGGTACTTCGGGTGGGGAATCTCAACTATAGGCCTCGAGGTCACTGCAGTATTTTTAGCCCTTCCAATTGGTGGAAGACAAGGGTTTGTTGTTATTGCATTCCAAAGGTTCTGTGTACCAAGATGTTAGGGCTGGCAAACGGCCCTTTGCAGAGCCAAAGACAGCCCACGAGAATTGTAATCAGGCTCCAGACTCTGCAGTCATTGAAGTTTGAATTAGCCTTTGTAGACAAAGCTTCTTTCAGGTTCTTGTTCACACTGGCAGGTTCTTAGGCCTGATTTCCCTGGCGTGATTCTAACACACCCATGTGCTCCTACTGGCTCAGTACACAATAGATCTATATGGTGGCTCCCTCCCTACTCCAGGAATAAATCATTTACCAGGCTACACTGAACAGATTGGATGGGTACTAGGCAGTTAGTATAGATTGAGTCCACTCAAGAACTGTGATCAGTCTCCTTCCTCAAAATGGGGTCAAATACTTCTTGTAAAACAGTCTACTAGGGACCGGGCGGTGGTGGTGCACACCTTTAATACCAGCACTCGGGAGGCAGAGACAGGAGGATCTCTGTGACTTCAAAGAGCAAGTTTCAGGACAGGCCCCAAAGCTACAGAGAAATCCTGCCCCCCCACCCAAAACAAACAAACAAAAAGATCTCTATTTCTTAAGTGACCAAGGGGTCAAGACCACGTTGAGAAAACCCACAGAGACAGCTGACCTGAGCAAGTGAGAACTCATGGACCCCAGACTGACAGCTGGGGAACCAACCAAAACAGGCCCCCTGAACGTGGCTGTCAGCTAGGAGGGCTGGGCAGTCTATGGGGCCTCTGGCAGTGGAACCAGGAAGGCCTTACCCTCTCTGAGGAATGGATGGGGAAAGGGATGGGAGGGTCGGTGGGGGGCATGGGAGGGTGGGAGGGAGAGGGAACTGAGATTGATATGTAAAATAAGACTTTCTAATTTAAATAAAATTTATAAAATTGAAAAAAAAACAGTCTCCTAGGACAAGGGACAGTCTGAAAAACTGTTGTTTGACACAGTAACTTAGGGTAGGGCACAGCCTGGTGGCTACACCAATCATAGCACTCCTGATTGTGAAAAACACTCTCTCCTAACAAAGCTCTTTGATAATGGCTAACTCCTCGTTAGCTCTTCTCCCAAACTACTGTCTCTTTGTCCTTAATAGGAGCATCATCCGATTCTAGAAAGCAAGCTGGATGTGGTGGAGCACACCTTGAATCTCAGGGCACTCAGAAGGCAGAGGCAAACAGACCTGCGAATTTGAGGCCAGCCTGATCTATATTGTAAGTTACAGGCTAGCCAGGGCTACACAGTAAGACCTTGTCTCAAAGTAAATTTAATACGTACGTACATATTTATTTCAAGAGGCTATAAGAAGAAAAAAGAAGAGAGTAAAGAGAAATAAGATAAAAGAGAACGATGGAAAAAAAAACCAGGGGATGGCGTTATGAGCACAGACAACGATTGAGAATGGGCAAGAACTCTTAGTTGTGTGGCTTCTGTCTACTCTTAGTTGTGAGGCTTCTGTCTGTCTAGTCCCTCCTCCTTCCTGCTCCTTCCTGCATGGTGTTTCCTCTTGACGTATAAGAGGTAAGGGGTATAAGGTCTCCAATACTATAGAGGACACTGGGACACACTGAGACCACAGCTTTACTTAACCCCAGAAAGAGCATCTGAAAAGATTTCAGATCATCCAAAGGGAGCAAACACATCTACTGTGAAGCTTTGGGGAAGGGAGGGAGGGAGGGAGGCATCTTCCAGCATGAGGGAGAGAGGAGGGAACCGTGTTCATGTATGACTTAGAGGATGTGCGGGGAGCTGCGGAGGAAAGGCGAGTCCACTTACAGTGATTCATTATGCGGTAGGAGCTGTGCTATAGCTGTCTAATGTCTGTGGGTCTGGTGATCTAAGGTGTGCCAAGGCCCTTTATAGAGGAATTAGGTCACTCTCCCTGAGTCCAGGCACCTGCGGAGTCTGTCAGAGTTACAGCCTCTTAGGCACTTCGTAGTGTCTAGTGTCGTAGTGTCTTTCTCTCTTTGTAAACAGCAGGGTCTCCGATCAACTATGAGGCAGAGATAGGGAGGGGTGCAGATAGATGGGTGTAGCCCGTAGCCTGAGCACCTGTCTGCTCAGGGATTTAGCGTTGCTCTACTGAACTCCCAGTTTTTGGAAAGCCTGTTAGAGGAGGGCAGATTCACAAACAGGCTCTCAGTGTCTTGCTAGTGAGGCTGGAGGTGCAGGGGGCTCCTGTAGGCTGGTGAGGACTGACGGGCCCCTAACTAAACCTAACAAATCCAGGGGAACATCTCATACGATGATCTCAAAAGATGGAGAGAGCATGGGGGCACACGGCACAGGCCTATAACTCCAGTACTCGGGAGGCAGGCACAGGGAAATACAAACTCAGAAACATCCTGGACTCAAGGCAGACAGTGAGGTCCAGCCTCAACATAAATAATAATAATAATAACAATAATAATAATAATCACCCGTGGATCACTCTTGAAACTATAACCACATTTTTCCTGGGATACACAGTGACAGTGATAACAGACAGGACAGACAGTACACTCTGCTGCACCCACCCCCCGCTGCACCCACACCCCGCTGCACCCACACTCCGCAGCAGCACCCTCGCCCCACTGCACCCACGCTCCGCAGCACCCACACTGCTGCACCCACGCTCCGCTGCACCCACACCCCGCAGCAGCACCCTCGCCGCGCTGCACCCACACTGCTGCACCCTCGCCCCGCTGCACCCACACTCCCGCAGCACCCACACCCCGCAGCACCCACACTGCTGCACCCTCGCTCCGCTGCACCCACACTCCGCTGCACCCACATTCCGCTGCACCCACACCCCGCTGCACCCACACTGCTGCACCCACGCTCCGCAGCACCCATACTCCCGCTGCTGCTCTCCGACCAGTTCCTCCTCAGCATGCTCGCTCTGGAAGGGGCCTTTCCTTTCTAGTCAGCCAGCAGACAGAACTAGAACCGCTCGTGTTTTGACTGTACCTTCAATCTTGCTCGTTCCCTACAACGGGCCTTTTCTCATCTCTGATTTTACTGAGCATTTCCTGTGAGAGTCTGCCAGAGACTTGCCCACTTCAGTTCCTTTGATTTTCTTTTAAGTAAAGCAAAATTTATGGAAGCAAAAATGGCTTTGACACAGGAACCACAACAAAAATCGTCATTTCTAACAACATAAATCATCGGCCTGCACGCCGCTGAGGCTCCAATTTGGGAGAATACAGGTGTTGGCATAAATTTGCAATTCTCACCTGGGTCAGGAGTAATCAGACCTGAAATAGGAACCTTGGGAAATTTCTTTGGGGAATTTTCACTTCACCTCAGCTGATTCAACAGCCTGTAGCAGCGGAGTTCTTTGGGCCCAGGTGTTTACTACAAAATAAGAGGGATAGCTTGATCTTTTCAATTAAAACATAATCCTTGCCTTGGGGCATGGCAATGACAGCATCTCAGCCCAGCTGCACGAGAGGCTTGCTTTGTTCTACTGCTAGTGGGTACTGTGCCTTGACTCTTCAAAAGACAGCTAAGTTAAGGAGGCACTTGCTGTTCGAGGGCCCCAGCTGGCCTCTGCAAGGAGTTGACTGCTGTAGGCCTCATGTGAACTTCAGTGGACTGGCTGAGGACAGGAGGACTCCTTTGAACGTGGATTAGTTATTTCTTCCTGTTCTTGCAACAAAACGCCAGGCCACAAAACACCAAGGAGATGTATTTTCAGGCGCAGCTTCAGGAGATGCAGTGCGTTATGACAGGATGGCACCATGGTTTGTGACATCGGATGTGAGCCTGGTCACATCCGGGCTCAAACTTCCAGTGGGGTGGGCTGTAGCCCCCCAAGATCTTCCGAGTGAGCTACCTTTGCCAGTCATGCTGAGGCAAAACGGAAAGATGGGAATGATATCGACACGGGGAGAAAAGGCTGGGAGAGGAAGGGAAGTCTACACCCTGAAGTGTTTTTACTGCCGACGCCGACGTAGTCAGGAGACCTCAGTCTCCACTGGGAAGAGCCTGAAATGGGCTGGCGAGATGTCTCTGCAGGCACAGGCACTTGCTGAACCGGGAAACCACAATTCCCGGAACTCACCATGGTGGAAGGAGAGAATTGATTCCTACAAGTCATCTTCTGACTTCCGAGACACATGCATGCCCTTCCCCCAGTAAATAACTAAATGTAAGTAAGTTTCTGTGTATAAAAGAACTTGCTGGCCCACAGAGACAGAATGTATTTTCCAAAGACAGCTTGCCACAGATAATTAATAAATTATGTTCACTCAGGGCCAGATGATTCATTCCCAAAGACTCCTCAGCCTAGACGGTCAAGGACATAACTAGATTGTACTTACTTATGGCCAAAATGAAATAGAAGCTGAGTTTCTGGGAGTCACATCTTTTCCCTAAAACACAAAGAGTGCCCCTCCTAAATCCACCTTACAAATTTGTTTACTCAGAAAAACTCTTTAACTTTTAACATTGCTACAAATTACCCTCCGTGGGCAAACGTCAGAAAAAAAAACAGGGTGGGAATGCTCCTCAGGAACCGTAGAGGTGTAACCTGGAAGCTAGAAACCCCCATTGTAAAGGAACTCAACCTCTGAGTACTGAGGTGTCTCAGTGGGAAAGGGGCTTGCTGCTAAGCCTGATGACCCGCGTTCAACCCCTGGGAACCACATCCGGGGAGAAGAAAACCCACCCACTGAAAGTTGTCCTCTGACCTCTATATACAAGCATTGGTGTATGGCACCATATGCCCTCCCCACCAAACACACACACACACACACACACACACACACACACACACACACACTCACACACACACTCACACACACTCACACACACTCTCTCACACACACACTCACACACACACTCACACACACACACACACACATGCATAAATGTAACTTGATTTTTTTTTGAAAAGCCCAAATATGTTGGTGCACACCTTTAATTCTGGCACTTGGGAGGCAGAGACAGGCGGATCTCTGTGACTTTGAGGCCAGCCTGGTCTACAGAGAGAGTTCCGGGACAGCCAGGACTACATAGTGAGACCACAGCAACTAAAATATAAACCCATCTTGCTTCCTATTTGGTTCTCCCTGAGATCAATTTCTTTGCTGCGGCCGTGAGTCTTGGTTTGGCCTGGGTGGAGAACCCCTTATGCAGCTACTGGTGTGGTGTGGAGCCCTTGGTTGATGACAGTGTTGCCATCCAGAGGCCCCACAGCCATCACCATCTGTTGATCCAGTGTCCAACTCCGGGAGCCCATGGAGGATATTTTAAATCTAAACTGTAACAGAGCAGATGCCTTTTAAAACTTTTCTTGCTCTCCTTCCTCATCCTCTCCCCACTGCTCCATTATCTCCAATCCTTAAATAGCCAAGATGATCTCCAAGATGAGGAACACCGTGGTTACTAACGGGCAAGTGGCCTCGGCAGGTTCAAAGATATACCGAAGTCTTTTTCCAAGTCACCCTGGCCTTGTAATTCCACTCTTAAAATTACCCTGGCTTGGGCTTTGGTGGTGCACACCTTTAATCCCAGCACTCGGGAGGCAAAGGCAGGCGGATCTCTGTGAGTTCGAGGCCAGCCTGGTCTACAAAGCGAGTGCCAGGACAGCCTCCAAAGCAATACAGAGAAACCCTGTCTCAGGAAAAAAAAAATTACCCTGGCTCTTCAGAGCCAGAAACAGCAGCCTTGTTGTAAAAGGAGGCATGAGGTTGGGGGAGATTTTTCTCTGCTGAACCCCATGAAGCATAACAAAGCAATGTAATCTCTAGCTGCTGGAGTTTAGCTGGTGGTGTAAGCCCAGGCCTGGGAAATGGGTAGCCCAGGCTTTTCTTGTCACCGTGACCAATTTTGACTTGACAAGAGTCCGGGGCGGGGGTGGGGTGCTTACCTTGTGCTTTAAGGTTTGAGTACATCACAGTGGCGAAAGGCACAGTGACAGAGCATGAGGCGGCTAGTCACATTCTGTCCCCAGCCGGGCTACCAAACCTAAAAGCCCATCCCCAGTGGCTCATTTTCTCCAGCAAGGCTCCACCTCCTAAAGGTTCCATAACCTTCTGGAACAGCACAACCAACTAGGTAAAGCACAGGAACTGATGGAAGACATTTCACATTCAAACCACAGCAGTAAGAAACACTTTGGAGCTCTGAAGCAGACATATCCCCTGGGTCTCTGACATCTGAGCTCCTAGTTCCCAGGTGTTGTTGCTGTTTCAGGAGGGTTAAGCTGTGTGGTCTTTCTGGGGACGTGTGTCACGGGGGGGGGACAGCTTTGGAGTAAAAGACCTAGTTTGCCCTCTCTGTGTTGTGCTTGCGGCTGAAGATGTGAGGTCCAAGCTTCCTGCTCCTGCCGCCAGGCCTGCTGCCTGCTGTCATGGTGTCCTCGCCAGTATGGACTCCGAGGAGCCATAAACCCAAAATGAGCTCATCCCTCTATGAACTGCCTTGGCAACTTGCCGCACATCAGAATACCACATACATCTATTTTCTGCACTTGTGTGTCACATAAAAAGTTTCAGAGCTTTGTCTAGTATGGTGGTTCACATTTGCAGATCCAAAACTAAGGCGGCTGAAGCTGCTAGATTCTAGGTAGACCGGATCATAGTGCAAATCATGCCTCATTTTGAACTTTTATTATGCGCTTAGTACTCAAGTCTGAGGAGCCAAAGATCAATTAGTGAGAGCCCTACCCTATCAGGGCTAGGTGAAAAGCCAAGTAAGTAACCAACTAGAGGAGTGTTTTCTAAGTGCTGTGTGGAGGAACAGAAAGTAGAGCCAGGAATCCAGACCTGAGACAGAGAGACAGAGACAGAGAGAACACAGAAAGAAACAGAGACAGAGACACTTTCCAATATTGTGCTGGCACTGTATCTACTCTGTCCAGTAGAGTGGAAAGTGCTATTCACGGAAAGCATAGTGGTTAATTTCACACCTTGGTATTAGACATCCAGCCCAGGTGATTATCTGGAGAGCTTTCCTGGGGAACTTGAGAGCATGACCCTGCTGGGGAACTCCCAACTGAGAATGTCCTCACTGCCACAGCGTGTCACAGGGCTCCCTGGCTGTGTTGGGAGTCCTGATGGAAGACCCAGCAGCACCTTGGAGCCCATCCCACTTAACAGAAAATTGGTCTTGTTTAGATTGTATTTAATGTCTAAAGACTTTATTGTCTTATGCACAAGTGTTTTACTTGTGTGTGAGCACTACATGTGTCCCTTGTATCTGAAGAGGTCAGAAGAGGGCATCCTGTTCCCTAGTACTGGAGTTAGACTGTTGGGAGCCTCCATGTGGGTGCTGGGAATCGAACCCAGGTCCTCTGCAAGAGCAGTCAGTGCTCTTAACGGCAACTGTCCAGCCCCCTGCCTTGTTAGATTTTAGACACCGAAAAGAATGACTACCATGAAGAGGACTGAAAGGCCATCTTCCTCCCACATCTAGTTTGTTTTCTCCCTAAAGTGTTCAGAACACAGAGAAGCACACACTCCAAGTACTCTCTTCTCTAACAGCCCGAGATGGCGGCGCCCTGGCGGTTGCTACTCAGCGGAGGTGCAGGAAGATACTTGAGCCAGGAGTTTGAGGGCAGCCTGGGAAACACAGCAAAACTCCATTTCAGAGATAAGATGTTTACATATGAAAAAGGGTGAAAGCGGATGTTCTAAAAATTCAATTTCAGAAGCCAGGCTGTGGTGGCACACACCTTTAATCCCAGCGTTCAAGAAGGTTCAAGGCAGGAGGTTCTCTGTGAGTTTGAGTCCAGCCTGGTTTACAGAGCGAGTTCTAGGACAGCCAGGGCTACACAGAGAAGCCCTGTGTCAAACAAAAACAAAAACAAAAACAAAACAAAAAATAATTCAATTAGGGGCTGGAGAGATGGCTTGGTAATGAAGAGCACTTACGGTTAGGCAGTTTACCACCTGAAACTCCACCTCCCAGGGCTTTCATGCCCCCTTCTGGACTCCTCAGGAACTGCACTCACATGCACAACCCCTCCTTCACATGTGTGTGCATAATTAAAACTAAAATCTTAAAAAAACCTCACTATTGATTTTTGGTACAGGGTCCAACCTGCTGTGTAGCCAGAGCTAACCTTGGCCTCTTAATCCTTTTGCCTCCTCTTCCCAAGTGCTGGAAGTACAGGTGGCAACTTATGCTTTTATTGTGTGTCAGTTTAAAGAGTAATTAAGACATTTGAAAATAAAATCAAATATTCATGTACTCCTTTAGTTTTCTAGTAAAATAACTCTGACTTCAAACAGCTCAACTTTCATTGTAAGAAGAGTGATTTCCCAAGTGACACTCATCTGAACGGAGCAGGTGATGCAACTGTCACAGTTCCAAAGCTATTGGGACATTCAAGTGACATTCGTGTGTAGGCGTCGGGGCTAAGGAAAAGGTACCCTTCACTGCTATAGCCTTCAGGGTAGATTCAGTAATTTGTCATTCTTATTTTATTCCTTTTAAGCATCTACAGCGTATTGGCGAATGTGAGTCATTCTCTTTGAGTACATCTTAGTCTGCCCCCCCCCCAAAGGTTTGAGGGTCGGAAATGCAGGTGATTATCAGGACTGCCTTTGATACCTACATCCTTCTCTCCTGGGAGCCCTTTGAACTGACTTTGATATGCAATAATTAAGAGGGACTCCTGCCTGGAGGAGCAGCCGCTGTGGCCCTGCCTCTGGTCTCCTTCCACTGAGTCCTTGTTTTGAACTATTGATCAAAGATGTGAAGGGATCTGTTGTAGCCTGTGTGGGGTAAAGAGGAAGGAAGCCAGTGGGCTGGAAGGGAGAAGAGGGGCCACGTCTGGCTATAAATAGTTTCGGAAAAGCATGCTGGTCAGACCCTGCCTGCCTCCTTTAACACACGGTCCTTGGGCAGATTTGCTTCTCTTTCAGAAAGGGCCACCCCAGGCGACTGGCAGATCGCACGCGGAGCAGGCTCATTCAGCTCCGTTTGCAGTAGCCCATCGTCAGAGGACTCAAGGGTACTGGCAAGTCCTGGGAGACCTGAATGACTGAAGGATGGTGCTGGTGGCCTTGCTTGGACTCAGCTGGTTCTGTTCACCCCTGGGAGCTTTGGTCTTGGATTTCAACAACATCAAGATCTCTACGGATGTGCAAGGCGCTGGAAAGGTAAGTGCAGCTAGAGCAGGGTAGCACCGAGACCCATAGCAACGGTAACTAACCTCGGTCAGACAGGCCGCCCTCACCTCTAAGTGAACTGATGGAGGACTGAGGTTGCACGGAAATCCCACTCTCTTGTCATTGACTATTAGCCCAAACCTGTAATCCCATTACTCAGAAGGCAGAGAAGGACAATAAGGAGCTGACAGTGAGTCAGAGGCCAACCTGGACTGCAGATGAAACAAAAAGCCAGGAAAAGCAAAAGGCAATAAAGTGTTTTTCCAGCCAGGGCTCTGAATTTGTCTACAAATCAGTGTATAACGAAGCGGTACCATGTGCTAGACCTTTATGATCAACTGTCTTTCTCACAACTTGAGATAGCTTTCTATTTATCAATGAAGAAGACAGTCATTTGGACCAAGGTTACACAGCAGGTGTGTAGGAGTTACGAATTAAACACATTGGGAAATGACACATTATTGTAATAATCTACTTTGTAGAGTTGTTTCGGGGGTCATTGATTATCATTTATGTATACTATGCATTATACTCTATCCTATGTGGTGCATACATAATGAAGGACAGTTGGGGAGGGGTGGGTGCAGTGGCAGTGGGACATGTGTGTTATCTGTAAGACACAGGAGAAACCTTGGATTTTCATGAAGAGCGTAAGAGTATTAAATTCTGAGTTTTGAAGTAAAACGAGGGTTGGAGCATGGTTGGTTCATAACTGATTAAAGACAAGCTCTCCCCGGGCATTGGTGGCACACACCTTTAATCCCAGCACTTGAGATGCAGAGGCAGGTGGATCTCTGTGAGTTCGAGGTCAGCCTGGTCTACAGAGCTAGTTCCAGGACAGCCTCTAAAGCAATACAGAAAACCCTGTCTCCAAAAACCAAAAAAAAAAAAAAAAAAAAGACAAGCTCTCAAATACAAGCTCTGTAGCAAACAAGGTGTTCTCACAGGTAGTCTGATGTATTCTTTTGGGGGGAAAACCAGTTACGCTGAAAAATTAAGAGGGTGCCCGGAGCTCAACACAACATCTCAACAGCCCCTCCCCCCATGTGTGGGATGAAGACCTCTTAGGGCTCATTGGATTTCCCAGCCTGTGACAAGTTTTCCTTCTCAGGGCTCACAGTGTGCGTCAGACAAGGACTGCAGCGTGGGGAGATTCTGCTTTATGCTGCATGATGACAAGTCATACTGTGCCACATGCCGCAGAGTTCGGAGGAGGTGCGAGAGGAGTGCCGTGTGCTGCCCGGGAACAGTCTGCGTGAATGGTGAGCCATGCGTCTGAAGGCATCATCGGAGTCACGTAGGTTAGGACAGTCCACGGGAGGCAGCTCTAGGGTGTTCTTGGATCTGCAGCAGCTGTCTTTTTTGATGAAACAGATTAATTCACTACTGGTGACATGGATAAAATGACTTTAAAGGACATTCAGGGTAGACTGGTTGGATCTTTCTATTTTCACTTGGACTTTATTAATCAACCATTTTATTTGCTGTATGTGTGTGCATGTGTGTGAGACATGGTGTCTGTGTTAGAAATATAAAATATTATGAAATGGAAGGTAGAAGAGCTACCGAATTACTTAGCAACACAGTAACCGCATTATCTGCACGTGTGTCCCTCAGTTATAACACTAACCAAAGCTGGCTGTCCCTCAGATGTCTGCACTGCCGTGGAAGACACAAGACCAGTAATGGACAGAAACAATGATGGCCAAGACAGCACCTATGCAGAAGGAGCCACCAAACGGCCCACGGAGGAAAACAGTGCTCAGGGGAAGCCCAGCATTAAGAAATCACAAAGCAGTAAGAGCACCATTCTGAACACATTTTATTTGAAAACAATTTTCTCCCTCTCAGCTCCACAGGTTGAAACTAACTTCTGTCTCCACCCAATGTCTGTGAGCTCTTGGAACAACTCAAGAGACCCCATTAGCCAGGACAGGACAATACCCTAGTGATAAGTGCATAGGAAGAAAATTTTCCAGTGTTCAATTACACACACACACCATTTCCCAACACACTGGTACAGTACGTGCATGTGTGTGAGCACACACACACACACACACACACACACACACACACTCTCTCTCTCTAAGTGTGGTAACAAACCCCTTTTAGTTCCAGCAGGGGCTGTTGGATCTCTGAGTTCCAGGCCAGCCTGGTCTACATAGTGAGTTCCAGGCCAGCCAGAGCTACATAGATCCTGTTTCGAAACAACAAAATCCATTCTGTATTTTGTACAAGGTTGGAGCGAATGCATTTACTTTCATCCGCTGTGTATGCGAAGGCTACAGAAAGGGAAAATGGCACTTGTTATGCCACCAGCATAGTGAGTGTGTGTGTGTGCCTGTGTGTAAATGAACACTGGAAGGTTTTCTTCCTAAGCACTTATTACTAGGGTCTTTTGTTGTTGTTGTTTGAGACAGAGTTTTTCCGCAGCTTTGGAGGCTGTCCTGGAACTTGCTCTATAGACCAGGCTAGTCTCCAACTCAGAGATCCCCCCCCTCTGCCTCCCAAGTGCTGGGATTAAAGGTGTGTGCCACCACTGCCCAGCTGATTACTACTATTTTAGACAACTGTGGTTTTTGCTTTTTGTTGAAACAAGGTCTTTAATAAAAAAACGATAAGCCCTATTTGGAAGGGTTAGAATTTCCCCTCATTATGTGAGACCCATGGGTCCTATTGGCTGTTGCTATTTTTAGGTTGTAGCCTTCATACCTAGGTTTCCAAACTCATGCCATTAGAACAACATACACCCTTAACCTTCCTGCCGTGAGTTGTGCTGTCTATCTGCCACTAAAGCCTGTGTCTAACTTGTTACAGGACAGGAGGGAGAAAGCTGTCTGAGAACTTCGGACTGTGGCCCTGGACTTTGCTGTGCTCGCCATTTTTGGACAAAAATTTGCAAGCCAGTTCTACTAGAAGGACAAGTCTGCTCCAGGAGAGGGCAGAAAGACACTGCCCAAACCCCAGAAATCTTTCAGCGCTGTGACTGTGGTCCTGGACTGTTGTGTCGAAGTCAGGTGACTGGTAGTCGCCAACAGACAAGGCTAAGAGTATGCCAAAGAATATGAGTTGTAAACACAATTGTAAACATGGGACTCACTGTGTTCACACAGTCAGGAACTAATTTTATTATTGTTATTTTATTTTGTGTTTTTGAGACAAGGCTTCACTGTGAAGCCTTGACTAGGCTAGAACTTGCTGTCTACCTGGCTGGCCTTGAACTCAAAGAGATCTGCCTGCCTCTGCCTTTTGGGTACTTCTTGGGCTAGAGGGAGGAGTTCTCAGACAGGGTCTCAAAGTAAGTTTTGTAGCCCAGGCTGGCCTCAAACTCATGATCCTCTTATACCCGAGGCTTGGGATCACAGATGAATATTACTACACACAGCATATATAAAAAGCCAAATCTAGCAACTGAAATACACAGCAACCTGTGTACTACGAGATGCTGCACGGTGAATTACTTTTGGCTTTTTGTATCCTGTCTAGAATATTGACAAGATTCTACAATAAAACAATTGACACAGCCATTCAATCTGTTCAAATAAAGCTTTTTAAAAAATTGAGATTGGATGTGGGTTTATTACGGGATCTTCTGATATACTGTGAACTGCCTTCCAGACAAACTAATGGATGTGCCTGTCCCCAGAATCACACGTCATTTAAGGTGAGGGGCTCCTACTTCTGAGATAAAGCACACACCTATTCTTCTAGTTATTAGGATGTTTTGCAAACAGAAAATGGGTCAAAGAAAAAAGTTGCATTGATGAAGTCTCTTCGTTTCTTTTTCTTCTATCTCTAAGACAGGGTCTCACTATGTAGCTCTGGTACCCTGGTGTTCTGAAATTCACTCTGTAGACCAGGCTGGTTTTGAACTCAGAGATCTGCCTGTCTCTGCCTCCCGAGTGCTGGGATTAAGGGTGTGTGCTATCATGCCTGGCAGCCCCTAGTTTCTAGAGAGTACTGAACCAGCTTTCAGTAAAGAGCAAACAGGAGCCAGTAGAGGAGAATGTGGTTGCACTGTAAGGCAGAAATAAAAATGTCCATTAAACATTTTCTAGCACCCTGGCTCTTATTATTCTCTACTAAACCCATGGCTTACTATGCTCATAAACGCACTAAATTTAAGCACATTTGCTAAGAAAATAAGTACTCAATAATAGCTCAAGAGGTTTATTGACTACACTACATGGTAAGCATGAAGAAGAAACAATCACTTAAAAACACCAAAACCCTTACATAGCAAAGGTTAAGAAATAAATTAGTACTCCTAGTGGGATATGCCAGGGTGGGAGGGGTGGCGGTATCATTCACTTCTATCCTTGGGCTCCCGGTAGCGCCACTGGATGTAATCAAAAATGTCCTGCTCGCTGTCCACTGGAAGGGGCTCCCCAGCAACTCCTGCAAGAGAGACCACCACAAACAAAAGGAGTTAGTCTGAGAAGTTAATTACTGCAGACTGCGAGCTATGCTGGCCCGTGTGACTCCAGGTGACTATCAATGGTGCAGGCGGACTCAGCATGAACAAGGTTCCATTTCCAGCACAGGGGAACAAGTTCCTACTTTCCTGCCTCCACTTTCTGACACAAGCCTGCATGCATGTTTTGTCACATGTTACCAGTGCTACAGAGTCTGGGTACCCCAACTGTGGCCAGGAAAGCCACCCTAGGTCATGATTTCCCTCTTTACTGGATCTCTTTCTATTGTACCCATCATAAAATATTCTTGAGTTTCTTTTGCATCTCAGACTGTGGTTCTTAGGCTAACAATAATGGCATCACTTAGAAGTTTACCAGAATTATGAACTCCTGAGTCAGGTGTGGTGGTACACGGCTAGGCCAGCCTGGGCTAGAGTGCTATATATTTAGATGCCTGAGTGACCATGAAAGCAGTGTCCACTAAATCCACGTTTAATGAAGACCCGTGAACTATATGCATGCTTAAATTAGAAAAGCAACGCTCCAATCTACATGATAGAAGTCCTCTTTATGAAACATTTAGAAAAAATGGTAAAACTTCATTCTCCCAGTTGACACTACTAGTAAACCTTACAGTAGATTGTGAAATGTTATAGAGATAGATCAATCCTGATTTTTATGAGACCATAGAAAGCCCTGTTATCTTTTTTTTTTAATTTTTATTTATTTATTTATTACATATACATCAGATTGAATTGTAGGTGGTTGTCAGCCACCATGTGGTTGCTGGGAATTGAACTCAAGATCTCTGGAAGAGCAGTCAGTGCTCTTAACCTCTGAGCCATCTCACCAGCCCCGAAAGCCCTGTTATCTTAAAACACCTTGTTTTTGAGAGTGGTTCATGGAGCCTAGGCTGCCCTCAGACTTGCTGAGTAGCCAAGGCTGGGATTACAGGCACAGTGGCACGCTTACAACCCCAGGGAAACACCTATGGAAAGCACTCTCTCTAGCTGGAAGACGATAGATAGCTGAAACAGTCACAGATACTCACCAGTGACCCCCAAGGGGCGGATGGTGTACTCATTGATTGTGAAGCCCTTTTCCAGAGCGTGAGCTCTCATGTTCTTATTAAAGATGTCGCTCCCAGTGAAGTAGAGAACACCACAGTAATACTGATCTTTCGGGATCAACCTTAGGGGGAAAAAATTAACCACATATTTCAAGTTTAGCAAAGGTTTTCTAATATCAGTAAAATCAGAATACCTAAAGAATACCTAAAGACTTCATGGTCTTATAACCTAAGAAAAACAGGTTGTTAAGTTGATATTCAGTGGTCATCCTGTCATCTAGACTTGCAACTAGTCACTATGCTGCTACAAGCTACTTTTGCTAAAAGTGACTGCTCATAAGGCAACTAAAAGTAGGAAAGCCTTGGTCTTATGCTTTCTGCTTTACTCTCACTATTGTCCCTACCCTTCCCCTAACCTCCTGAGTCACTTGGGGTTCCAGAATGGGGGGGCCCTCAAATAGATAGATCATCCTTCTGACAGGGGCAATTACTTGTGAGGCTGAGGCTGCACTCGGGAGCAGAAATGACCATCCCTCGAGAACCACATGGACAGTGCTGGATCCAGAACTGCTTACTGTCCACACTTCACCTCCCTCAGTCCCTGCTCTATTTCTTCCCCTTTTAGACCTAAAGCTCAAGCCAGGGCCCAGAAAATGGAGCCGGGGATGTCAGCAGCTTGCATCTATCTGTCTTTCCCAGTGACATTTGAGGACAGGCAGCGAGTGCAGGTTGCGGGGCCCGGGCTTTTACCTCCAAACTGCAACTACACACCCAGGAAGTAAGAAAGGTGTGCATAAATAAAAAGTAGCATCTACTTATTACAGTGTGGGAGACCACTTCAGCCATGGCCGGTGTTCTTCTGAGGGGCAAATCTGGAGAAACTGACATCTGGGGATATTCCCATTCTGTACACAGTTCAGCCAACACTGTACTTTGTAGGAATTTATCATGCCTTACTAAAAGGAGGCTCTACATACGTATATCACCTGAAGTAGAGGAATGAAGAGTTCAACAAACACAATCTGAATCATACCTGATATCAATTCTTCTGTGTGGGTATTCCTTTTCATCATTTTTACTGGGAAGCTGGCAAACACCCTACATGGATATTTTAAAGACTGTTTAGAGAGCTTAAATTTAAGGCTTATTTTTCATCAAACGTTAAGAGGCACGCAGCAGTCCTAGAACTTTGAGCACTTTTATCACACTGGCATCTCTGAACTCTGTCAGAAGACCAAGCTGCGTCCTGTGCAGACACTGCGCTGCTCTCAGCTCTGTGAGACAGTGGCTTTCAGACCCCTTGCCCTGGGTGACTCCATGTCACGAGCCGCATCTGGTTCCATTCTGAGCACAAATGCAGAGGAAGCACAACACCGAGAGACCACTCGCCCGCCCAGCACTGCCCATGAGGGACAGACCAATCCTACTCCTATAGGTGAAAAGTGGTATTCACAAACCTACTGAGGAAGACTGGAAACATCTGGGTACATGGATTATTAAAACTATGCTAGGGAAACCAGCCTGAAATGTAAATCATCAACCTGAAGCCCCTATTTTAAAAGGGTCATTCAACACTGTTAAGTCCATGGTCTCAATTGACTTGTCACCATTGGGCATGTGTCAAAGGATGAGCAGGCAGGGCACGCCTAACTATCTTCACGGCTTATTGTGACAGTCCCATTGTTTTCCATGTGTTCACCTGCCCATCCCTCCAGACCTAGTCCTGGGCCTGGCCTTGGGGGTCCTGGTGACTGTGAGGTTCCGCCTGACCCCATGACTACTCAGTTCTGTATGCTTCCAGCAACAATCCAGCCAGCTTTGTAAGCAATTTATTTAACCAGCTGGGGAATGGGAACTGTGTGGTAAACCACAGCCGGTGAGAAGCCTCTATGTAGTTTGTAAACATCACTATCATTCAGTGAATTTCCACATTGTAGAAAGACAGGTTTCTCATACAGTGTGCACATGAGAGGGTGTACGACCTTTATCTTCTCACTGTATTCATAACTAACGAATCACACGGAGAGCAAACAAGGATTCCGCTTCTAGGATTTGACCTTTGCATGTTCTAAACTAGAGATTAGTCAAGGAAAGCACCAAGCATGAAAGACGAATACCAGAACAAACAGGAAAAAGCAACCTCGATAAAATAAAGATTATGCACAAAGCAAACAAATTGAGAAAACTGCTGGCAATATTCACGGACAACAGAAGATATCTGACTCAAGAAGCAGGCAGAATATTACAGATAAAGAACATTCAAGAAAAGTTCAAATAGGATATAAAAGAAGAGCTCAGAGAAAGACACAAAACAAAGACAACAAAAATTAAGACAAGATTATTGGACTATCTTTCTTCTCTACACTTGGGTTTTCACTATACTTTTACAGGTTTGTTTTTTTAAAGATTTATTTCCATTTTTAACTATGTACATGTGGGAAGGGCCTCAGATCTGGTGATTACTCGTAGATGGTAGTTTTGAGCTAGGGCTATAGACTTGACAAAGGTAATGCAGAGTCATTGGGACATAAGAAACCAGTAAAATGGGGATTTATTTGATTATTAAAAACCCTCTTGGGGCTGGAGAGATGGCTCAGAGGTTAAGAACACTTCTTCCAGAGGTCCTGAGTTCAATTCCCAGCAACCACATGGTGGCTCACAACCATCTGTAATGAGATCTGGTGCCCTCTTCTGGCCTGCAGGCATATTTGCAGACAGGATACTATACATAATAAAGTCTTTAAAAAAATAAATAAAAACAAAAATAAAGTTAAAAGAAAAACCCTCTTATTATATCAAGTAAAATGTGATGTAATCTGTGCCTTCTTACCATCTCTGTAAATGTGGATGTATGTGTATAATTGAGTGCAGGTGTCTACAGAGCCCAGAGGTGATGGACCACCTGGAGCTGCATGTTCTTAAGTGCTGAGCCATCTCTCCAGCCCCAAACCACATATTTCCAATTACAAGTGCCTACTGTCATATTCTAAGAACAATACACAGACCTAATGTACAAGCTCATGTGTCACTAAAACCCATGCTATCTCACTCAGCAAAACAGAGACGTCTGATCTAAGAA